TTTTGTCCAAGAAAAAGTTGTAACGTACAACCTCCATCTCCCGGACAATCGACTGGAATGCCCCAAACCAAACATTCGTCTGTTCCGCGATTGATGTATTGAACACCCAGTTACCATTTTGATCCACTAGCCCTGAGAAGCTCGCCGGGTTACAGAACATCTGGCAGGCGTGGTCGGTGGTCTTGTGTTTCCGAGTAAAATGGAAGACATCAACGGGCGTGCCCGTGTTTGCAAAGTGTGTATCCCCAGACGCAATGAGGTGTGCCCGCAGTCGACAGCCATCATCGTAGATAAGCAGTTCCGGCGTCGATGCCGCTGTCGGGAATGTCGCCTTCGCTAACTCCTGTGATGCGCGTGATGATCAGATGCCTCGGGACGTACAGAGGATGTAGTGCCAACAGACCTTGACACTACTGACTGCTTCTGCCCCAAACAATGTTGCCCGCGAGAGAATCACTCCACATGGACGGACAAACAGTTGCTCGTTATGAGTACGTCGTCGCCCGAATCTTGCGCGTACTTTAATATTGCCAGCGGGTGATTTACCTTCGCAGCCGATTTCTCTCCCTCCCTGACCTTCGACCTCCACCTCGTCATTATCAGCAACTTCTCCGGACAATGTATCCTCTGGAATCATGAAACCAGCCTTTGCCAGGCGTTCGCGAAGCTGGAATAGTGCCTTGCCGCGCTGGCGGTATGCATCCTCTAACTTCCGATGGTCAGGCTCAGGACAGGTCTGCTGTCCTTCGCTTGCTTTCCTTCGACAACCATCCACAGCACAGAGCGCGTTCAGATCTTCATGAGTGGGACAGTACCGACGGCGAGTATTGGCGAGAGGATTGTGGCAATTGTGTACGGCACAGCAGGGATGGCCCATCGTGTTGCCATCAGTCACGACAGCTTGCAGTTTCCCTGGACTCCATCAGAACCAACTTAATGGCTGAGAGACTGCGAGGACGTACTCCATACACCATTTTCATCCTGCCATATCTTGCAGCAGAGATCACAGGCATGAAGATATTCTTCCTGTCCTGTGCCTTCCATCGTGCTGTTTCGGGCCTTCAACTCTTTTTCCAGACGGGCAGCTTGACTCGGACCTTCGTGCGGGACCACGAGGACCTCACGCTTTTCTGCCTTATAGAGTAAGAGCGAATACAAGAAGAAGCCGTCGAGCACGTCCTGTGTTCGCATGAGTAACGACGTCTGCCAAGGTATACCTGTAGTATGGAATGCCGGCATCGTGCCAAAAGCAACCGGATTGTTATTGATGAAGGCATACTTCTCCGATAAGGCATGATTGTATGTGCGGCACAATTCGATGCAGACGCCCTAGGTGGCAGATCAAAAGGATGCTGCTGACTTAGACATGTGACACACCATTGGAAGCACATCTGTGTCGCAAACATTTCCAGAAGACGACTCTCGATGAAGAAATGTTTGGCAACTTCAACGACGTTGGGAACTGAGCCATAATATTGACGCAAAGAGGTATTTTTATGTATCGCATAGTTGTTGTAGAAGCGAGTATGGCACTCTATGTCATTTTAGATCTGACAGTATAATAGATTGGTTGGTTACTCAGTTAACTTACTTCGACAATACACGGAGATAATGTGTACAGGAAGCGAGCCTTCTGAAGCAGTGAACAGCGTCGCTTTATAGGTAGACGCCTCCGTGAGGCGTACACTTTTGCCGTCCTCAAGAGTGCAGCTTGGGCAGGTATGATATGGGGCATATAGATCGCGATATCCTTTGCACTAAATCAACATGCAGTCATGACATTAATGCATTGATTACGTACCTAGCCCATGCTGCAGGCCGTGCATATGGAAGGCTTGTATGTCACCCTCAGTCGCCAGGATATCCGAGCTTTCCCAAACGACCTCGGCTAGAGCTTCCCAGCATCGAGCCACATCCATGAATTCCAGGTTCATGGCAAGGCATAGGAATCTGTGGACATGGTCAGGCAGGACTAACGGGGGAATATCTATTTGCTTTTGTCCTAGTTGAATCGCGCCACGGCATAGTTTGGCAAGGCGGATGAAGCGCTGAATGCTCTCGACCTCAAGCCGGTGATACAACTCAGGATGATGCCCAAGCAGAGTAACAAGCGCGGCAAGGCCTGAGCCCATGCTGAACGTACTTGTGTGAGTGGCACACGATTTGCACAGTGCTGCTGCCGATTCAGAAGGGAAGCCAGCAGCGGCTGTAAGGCGCTCAGTGGCTTACTCATTGTAGCACCGGGGTGCCTGCGCAAAAATAATAGGCCAAGCAACACCGGTAATCGAAACAAAGCATGGCAGCTCAGATCACCATAAGACACACAAACCACTAGACTACCAGATACACAGGGCATAAGTACCACAATTGTATGGAAGTGGCTTGATGCATTGATCCTTACGCTGCTGGTCAGTGCGGTCAGCACTGACACACCAGTTTTTGGCACAAACTTTGCCGTGATATGTCAGAATATATGCTGCAATATCGGCTTTAATGATAGGAGTAGTCAGGGATCATTACGGACGGCGCAGAAGGTAGTCTTCGGGCGCATTGGTAGCGTCGGGACCGTGTGGGTAGCGTTGGGACCGTGGGGGTAGC